TATTCATTCAAGCATATATAATTATGTATCGTATTTTGTAATGCGAGTTTATAATTAAATGGCAAGATAAAGACATAAAAATATTTATAAACTTTTACTTTACATAAGTTTTTTGGAGGTATAAAAATATCCCATAAACTTACAAAATCAAAGTAAAAGTGATACTACCTCCGATCCTTATTATAAGACCCCGTTTGACTTTTTGTTTGGTCCTAATTATAAGACCCCAATTATTTGTCTCTCATATTTATAATTTTTTTCCAAGATAATCCTTCTCATAATGATAGTTCTAGCCATATACTTAATTAGTAAGGATATTTTAGGAATACAACACTTATTTATTACAAATAACATTTAACTTATTTCCTTAATCTCTTCAAATAAGTCAACTGGGTCTTATAATTAGAACGGAGGTAGTATAATGATAAACATAAGTATTTAATACTACCTCGGTCCTAATATAAGACCCAGTTGACTTATTTGAGGAGATTAAGGAGTAAGTTAAGTTAGTTATTTATAATAATAAGTATTGTCATTCCTAAAATATCCTTGCTAATTAAGTATTGGCTAAAAAACACATTATTAGAAGGATTATTTTGGAAAAAATACATAAATATGGGAGACAATGGATTGGGGTCTTATAATTAGGACCAAAAAAAAAGTCAAATGGGGTCTTATAATAAGGACTGGATGAGGGTAGTAATACATAAGATAATATATTAATCTTTAAACTTGTTCAATGACCGTTGCGTTTGCAGTAGGACCGATCATGATTATGCTCACTGTAATGTAAATTAGTTGAACAACGTTAAGTTATTTTAATTACACTGGAGCAGACTCGAGAAACAAGTGATTCAATAAATAGAAGAGAGAAGGGTCTGTAAATGATAAACATTCGTAGAGGCGGCTCGAATTTCATGTGTGCTAAGCAGAAGGAAGAATGTGATCGGGGGATAGGTTTCAGAAGACCCCTGGTTAGAAAGTCAGCTTCTTGGAAGAGACAGTTGGGCGATGAGTTAGGGTGTGTTTGGTTACACCCCAAACCATGGTTGGGGAATTATCTACTCAAAACACCCCTCCAAAACCAAAACCATGGTTTGACTCCAAAACCCATGGTTTTGAAAAAACAAAATTTTTTTTGCTTTTGGAGAAAAAAGGGAGAGTGGAGGGTCTATATGATATGATCTTGGTATTTTTTTTATAAATATATTTAATCTTATATTTATAAAATATATATGCACATTAATTATTTATTATATATATCTTATGTATTATTAATTATGTGGTAACAAACATATTAATAACAATTTTATTCCTTCAAATTAAAATATATCATTAAAATCTTTTTTTCTGTAATTATCATAGGAATTATGTCTTTTGTTTAGAATTTGTATATATAAAAGTGCTTCTGATAACAAATCAAAACACTCTCACTTTTCAGATCATTTTTTTACAAAATGATTCTTCACAGAATATATTTTCTCCAAAACTATTCTCCAGAATCACTTTTCCAAACCACGATTTGGGTTTCATCCAAACACACCCTTAGTTATAAAACCGTCCAAATGCGATGAACCCTTTAAAGTGTTGACGCCCGCGATATTGCAGATTTTGGGGAACAAAAGCTCTCAACCACGTTCTTTAATTTGCAGCGTCAAAAGTCAAAGAACATGGTCTACTAAACTCCGACTCACTTAATTAATTTGAGAAAACTTACGACCTCAGCTGGTAAAATCCTCAAAAGAATTACACAGCAACCACCTTCTTTAAAGATTCCTGATATAAGGGACCGGAGGTGGCACTTGGGATGGAATATATAAAGCACAATCTAGTGTCTTCTAACATAAAATCTGGTTTGGAGCTCATTCGAACTCCAAACTAGGTAACTTGTGGGTATTATTTGTTGATATTTATAACAGATATTTTGAGGTTTATTTGCAATTTTTTTGGTAATTTTTAATTTTATTTTCATTTAATTACTCATATTAATATAATTGCATTTATTAGCAAGATTAACTATTTAGATGGTGAATTCTTTCTCTTGTGCTCTTTCTCCTAATAAATAATGATATTAGAAAAGTTACCCTTTTAACATATTTATTATCTTTTACTAATTTTAAACAATTTTTTTTGTATCGTACAAAAAGAATATGAGGAATTGCTTACTTATTTTAGCTTAAATTTTCATTTTTTTCCTCCTCAAATATATGTTATGTTCTAAAATTTAAGGTATAATTATTACTTATTTTTCGTTGGCAAAAAAATTATCACTTATTTTTAATACTATTCCTATTAAATAGAAGGCCGTAAATAGAGATAGTTAAGATTTAAAATAATGTTGCATTAAATGGAGAACAAAAGAGAGGAAACAATTCTTACATATTAGCTTTTCGGGTTCAAGTGGAATAATGTAGGAAAGTTATTACTGCTAATTTTATACCTATTTAATTTAAGCAAGTTCGATTTGAATTAATTGGATCCTAATATTTTTTTTGGAATTAAAGTTGGTTGGTTTTAAAAATAAATTTAATTAGACATTAACTTTTTTAACAAGTAAAAAAAATTAATATGATTTAATATTTGAGTTGTGGGCCGAAAAAATAACGCATCGCTATATTAGTCTTTAATTTACCAATAAGATTGCTCTGAATTTTGAAAATCCTAAACTTTTAGCACAAAGGTAGGAGTATTTAATTTTTAATATTCTCAAATTAAATGGGAACGAAAAGCTTGATCTTCCAAGCAAAGAAAGAGGCAACAAATTAAAGTGACAAAGACACAAAGGCACTTTCAGACCGCCACATATGTTGCACCTATGTTAATTAATTTGAGGAATTATGTTTGATTAAATTTAAACTATAGATATAATCGATTGAAACATTAGGCAAATTTACTTTGTTATCCCAAGGTTTAATGGGAACCAAATAAAACAACATGCAATCTTGTCATGTTTTACGTGGATAAGAATAGATATTACATTTGATCTTAGCCAAATGCCGGATAAAAATACAGTAGCTCAGAATTAATTATTAACATTTTAATTGAAAACGACAAAAATGAGAAAAATTTGTTAAAAAATCAATTCTAAAAGTCAATTCAATATACTTCTCCAATCCTAAATATAAAACTTTTATACTAGTATATATAAAGGCCTTATATTTAAGATTGGAGAGTATATTAAAAGATAAAAATGAAGTTTTTTTTTTTCCGTAACCAGTTGCTAGAACTTTGGCAGCTTGGCAATAACAATTACTCCTCCGGTCCTTAATATAGGACCCAATTCTTGAGTTGGTTTGGTTCTAAATATAAGACCTATTTTTCATATTTATCAATTTCTCTAAATTACCCCTATAGATACTCCCTCAACCATAATCAAATAGAAGAGGGAGATGGGGTATTAAAAAAGATGATTATGGTGTTTTAGGAAAAATGTGTCACTTTTCTTATAATTAACTAACTTACCTAACTTCCTTAATCTAATCAAATTAGTTAAATGGGTCTTATATTAAGGACCGGAAGGAGTAACATTTTTTCAACAAACAAACAAAAAAACTAAAGATATTTTGGTCATTTCAAAAAAAAAATGATTTTATTTTTATCTTTTAATACTAATTTAAGCGTCAAAATTGTTTAAAGATACTCGAGGCCAAAAGGAATTGTTTAAAGATAGGGAGATTATGCTGCAACGATGGTCATTTAATAAAATTTTCTCAAAAAGATAGTGCCACGTGGCACAAAACTCGGAAATTGTGCGTGTATATTATGTGAATCATACTACTGATTCTATTATTTTTTATTAGGAGTAACAACAATCAAAATCATACTGTTTACAATATTAGTTAAATTTAATTAAAATTAATAAATATATAAGTTATATTTTTTGGGTTAATAAAATTTATTTTGTATATAAATTTAAGATCAGAGGAGTACATATTTTTTCAATTGTACTTTTATTTATAAAGTGAGTATATGAGAAATAATTTGTGAAAATTTACTATAGAAAAATAATAAGTATGATATATTGATTATATTCAATAGTGTAAAAGTGAAAAGACTGCTATAATATTTCAGATAAAGAGAATTTATTTTTTTATATTTAGAAAGATCACTATGAAGGGTGACTGTTTCTTATAAAAAAAAGATAAGAGGAGTATATTTTATGAATACATAATGGTTAAGACATTCTTTCTTGTTGTGCCTGTAGCTGAAACATGTGATCATACTTTTAATAATCTTTGGGAATAATGCAACATGACACGCCAGGTTGAACACTTTTGTTCATGTGATCACGGACGCGGTGACTTCAACCGTCGCCAACACTCTCGCGCTTCTTTTGACCATTCCGTCTTCTTCTTCTTCTAGACTCCTCCTTTTGCAAATGGCGCAAGTCATGAGTCATCCGTATTATTCTAACTTCGAGTACTTTTGATTTTTTAACAAAAATAGAAAAAATTATTTGAAAATTTGTTTGCAGTTATCTGTTCGGAAAAAACAAAAAACAATTGTTCTGGAAAATTAAAAAAATCAAAATGGATTTTTTTTATTAGAGGCAATTGTGTAAATATAAAAAAATTAGTTTTCACCATTTATTTCACTATTTTATATATGTTTTTCAAATTAATGATTTAAACAGATTTTTTTTCAAAACTTCTATTAAAAAAATATTCTATAGAATTATTGGAAGAACGCAAAAATTAAAAATAGAATCAAACACACGCTTAGATTTTATTTTTTATTTTTTAAAAAGATATTTTTCTTCAGTTAATTTGTTTACCTGAATAAGCTGAAAATAATTACCCAACTTATCAGGTAGAAACATTTGTTTTTGCAGATATAACTTAAAGCCGTATTGTCTCCTGTGAAACAAAAATTAAAATATCATGACTCCAGAAAAGGGAATTGGTATAATTTAAAAAAAAAAAACTAGTGACTACGACATTTTTTCGATAAATAAAAAATAAATACAAGTGATTGGAAGTGGGCAGGACCAGAAAGGCAAATGGAAACTGCGAAGAAAAAACAATGGGATTGTCCGGGAAACAGAAGGAAAGGAAAGTTCCGAGAAAATGTGGTTCACAGTTTCAACCTCTAAACCAGACAACATAATCACAGTTTCCTGATTTAATCTCACACGTCGGATCGAAGCACATGACGTGTCACGGATTCCCCCTCCTAGAAAGTTCGCCTATAAATACAACCCAACTTCGATAAAAAATCCTTAATATCGATCTTCACCAAACACTGATCAGAAGCCAAATTCGAATAGTTCAGCAAATCATCTTCAGCTCAAACATGAAACTCGCATGGTCTCCAGATTCTGCATCAAAAGCATACCTGGATACTGTCAAATCCGTAAGCCTCTAATTCTTGTGTATAGATCTGTTCCGCGTTCCGTTCTCTGTTTCTGGTTGTATTAAATTCTCTGACTGTTCTCTTCAATTTTGTTGTTTGATTTCGCAGTGTCAGGTTTCCTGTGAATCAGGAGCGGCGGAGCTTGTGGCGGCCATGGCCGCCGGCTGGAACGCGCAGTTCATCGTGGAGACATGGATGCAAGGAGGAGCGATCGCCACGAGCATAGGGTTAGCAATCGCAAGATCGCACACCGGAGGGCGGCACGTGTGTGTTGTTCCTGACGAACGGTCGGGATCGGAGTACGCGAAAAGCTTGAGCGACGCCGGCGTGTCGTCGCCGGAGATATTGGTGGGCGAGGCGGAGGAAGTGATGGACGGTTTAGTAGGAATAGATTTCTTGGTGGTAGATTGTAGGCGGAAGGATTTCTCGAGGGTATTCAGATTGGCGAAATTGAGTGGAAAAGGAGGAGTTCTGGTGTGCAAGAACGCGTATTCGAAATCGGCTTCGAGATTTAGGTGGCGGAGCGTAGTTGATGAGGAATCGTCCCGGCGTGTGGTTCGGTCGGTGTTTCTTCCGGTGGGGAAGGGTCTTGACATCGCGCATGTTTCCTCCGCCGCCGCTGCCGCCGGCGGTGATTCCGGCTCGAAGAGATGGATTAAACATTTTGACCAGCGTTCAGGGGAGCTATATGTTATCAGAAAATAATTCATTTTATTATTTTTTTTCCCCAAGTAGCATTATGCAAAATATCCCTGTAGTTGGGCCGGCAGGAAAAAAAAAAATAAATAAAGGTGCTCTGTAAATATATATACATACGTATTTATTGTTGGAGAATATTACAAATCAACTCCATTGGGTTCCTATTTCTGTGATTCCAAATGTTCTCTTACCTATGGTCAGTTTTGAAAATGATTTCCCAGAAAAATGATTCTCAGTTGTTCCTGAAATTTCTGAATCAAAATGAATGTCTTGGAGGAATAAATATTAGGAATGATCATAAAAAAATTAAAAATTATAATTACATTCAAATAAAAAAGACAAATTACGTTACCGATACTGTGGAACCAAAATAACGTCCTCATTCAGAACTATTGTACTCTAACAGCCTTCTCAGGCCAAAAAAAAAAAAAAACAGCCTTCATTTCTAGCAGGCACTATAATCTAATTCAGTTTGAGAGCGTATTATTCATATTTGCAGTCTCTAATAATTGTAAAACTGTTTTGATATAAGATGATGGAGAAATTTAGGCTTGATCTTAGGTTAACAACAGATGTTAAGTTCTCTACACCAGTATTTCTCCAATCTTATTAATAATAGGGTTGTCGTGTATTTTATAAGTTTTAATTTGGTTTTATTTTTATATTTAATGTGTTTTTTTCTCTAATTTTACTCATGATTATTGATTCTTCTTTCTTGTCGTACTTTTTCTTATTACATTTTTTATACATTTTCTTTCATATTTTTTTCTCTATTATAATAATAATTAAAAATAAAAGTATATTTTTAACATATCTATTAATTTTAACTGTTTTTTCGTTACACACAAATTAATTATTTAAATTTTATAATAAAGATCAAATAGAGTATCATTTTAAACTTGATCGGAAATTGTGAGAAAGAACAAATAGAGAATGAGTAGTGGAATTTACATCATTTTAATATTCTTTTACTTTGTGAATCAAGTCTACTCACACTTGACAGCATTATAACAATCTTTCTCTCAAATGCGATTCTATTAGCTCATTTATTGTAAAATCGTGACAAACACTAAACCAAGGATTGGGATTGAGATTAAAAAAAAATATTAAAAAGTATTTAGTATGAGTAATTACTTATTATTTGATATTGGACAAATTCATATATGTAGGATTAAGGAATACTATAGATGGAGGTGGTATTTCCAATTCCACTTACATGTGATTACCTAATCTTATGTAACAATAAATTACTCATAAATACTTTTTAACGATTTTTCTCAATTCTAATCCCAATTTTATCCCCCAGTTTTAATGTTTCGTACCAGATGGGATCTAAGTCTGTAGTGCCATATCGTGGTCAAAGCCAACTCAATTTTCTCACACACTAATTTCGGTTAAGACATGATTTCCTTTCACCTTTTTATAAATTACAAATATCAGATTATATATATATTTTTTAATAAGAGGTGGTAATGATATGGAACATGTAATATAACTCTTTGAATTTGTATTGAAATTTAGTGACCCAAGCAGAGTTGATCATTTATCTTGATTTAAATCATTCATAGATGTTAGAATAGAAAAGGACCCACATAGGAAAACTCAAGATATACAAATTAAGGGGAAGATGACAAAAAATAACTGTTAAATTTTAAAATGGTGATGACACTATTATTATAATGATTTTGAGATCTTAAAATCTGTCAAAATTATTTATTTGTCATTTTAAAACTTAACATGTACTTCTTCAGTCTTTAATATAAAACTCAAATGTTGAGTTGATTTTAATCCTAAATATAAGATCTATTTATCATATTTATTAATTTTTTTAAATTACTTTAATGAATACTTCCTCAACTATAATCAAGTAAAAGATGAAAATGAGATATTAAGGAAGATGATTATGATATTTTAGAAAAAAAACATGTCATATTTTTTTATAATCAACTAACTTACTTAATTTTTTTTTAATTTAATCAAATTAGTTAAATATGTCTTATATTAAAAAAGGATGAAGGAGTATTTTTGTTGTTGTCATTTTTCCTAAATCATGCGATAACCATACAAGTGATCAAGATTTTTTTGTTGTTGGTATAAGTGATCAAGATTTTTTGATCTAATGGATAAGCTACACACACACAGGCGATAATTGAGCATATTTGGGCCCAATTTTGGTAACTTAGTTTTTCAAATATCCAGTTCTTCTTACTTTTTATCCCCGGCTAGAAGTTAAAATCATATCAACTTACAAAATTGGATATTCTTGGTTGTTGGAACCTTGACTTCTAAACAGAAATTGAAGACATCTCTTTTATTCTGCTAGTTCTTAATATAAAATTTTTTTTTACTTGATCATACATATAAGAACTATTTTAAATCCCGATCTAACATTTATAATGTGTTATAAAAAATGTCTATTTAATCCATCCCAAAGTGCTTCCAATGAGAGAAGATTATGGTGTGGGGCTCATGAATTGAGAAAGCTTTAATTGCAATCTTGTTTGGAATGATGATTGGAGCAACAAAAACATCTTTTCAATCATAATTTATGGAATACAAAATAAATATATTAATAGATTACTTTATACCTCTCAATACCCTCTAGGTGCTTCAAGATTGCTTGTTTCCGTTGTAAAATACTTCCCAAGTGCTCATTATTCCACTTAGTTGCAGCTTCTTGAAAATTCATAACACCTTAGCACCAATTACTGTCTTGCCAAGCATCTTTCACAATATCACTAAATCCATCTTCGAGAGCCCGGGCGACTTGGTAATGAAATCTTTTCGGAGGGAGGCGCTTGTTTTCTTGATTATGTAAAGACAAAACTATCATTTTGTGATCAGACTTAAGTTCATGATAGATCTTGGATTGAGGAAATTTCACACCCTAAGCTATGTTTCCATAAATAAAAGAGGTGAAGAAAATAGATGAGGATTGTTCACCACAAACTCAGCAGTGGAGGATTTGCTCATTTGATGAGATGTAATCAATTGCGTGATATTTCTCATTCCACATAAGCCATATTCCCCCCGTAGCCTCAACGCTGATCCAATTTGAAAACCCCATTTTCCTTACTACACTGTCTGCCCTTTGTCCGCTGATCCTTGGTTCAATTAGACAAAAAATGCCAATTTTATTTTTTCTCAAAATATCTTTCACTAGTAAAGGGAAGATCCGACTGCTGGCTCCCTTGCAATTCCAGGTACCAATATTTATAGATAACAAAAGCAAGAGTGAAGAAAGGAATACTCATTTGCTCATCTGTGTCTCTAGGACGGCATCTAGCATTGCCAGATCCTCCTCAGCTAAAGTTGCTGCTGCTATTCTAGAATCCCCTCCCTTATCACATAGCATCATGGGGTCTGGTGCTTTCGGGTCAAGAGGAAAGTCCATTACAGGCTCTTAATCGGTTCTTGCAATGGCTGTTTAAGGGTGCAGAGGTGGATTTGCATCTGTGTTGTAAATCACAAGTTCCTTTTTTTTTTTTTTTTGGTTACAAGAGAGGGCAATGCCCAAAACTTAAAAATTAAACATCCAGGGGATTGAATCCCATACACTCTGTAGCTACCAAGGCTTGAAGCCTAGGCGGACAAGAGTCTAACAACGAGCTAGTGGAGAGTCCTTCTTTCGCAAGGTGATCCGCAATCCGATTCTTCTCTCTGCCGATGAAAGTAATCTCCACGTTCCAGGGCAGTTTAATCATCTTCTGAATTTGTAACATTAATAGACCACTATTATGTGAGGCCCCATTAGTTTTTAGAAGATTAACCAGATTCAGTGCATCAGACTCAAGGATGACGTTTTTGAAACCCATATCACAAGTTCCTTATTTCCCTGTTCATTTGTTTTACTAACCATCAGGTTCTTGGGTTGGTCAACATGGCCCATGTCCCCACTAACCACATTGTGTATTCTTTGTTTAATAGCTACCTTGGCTTTTTCCTTCACGCCTTTGGGGTATTTGGATGAAACCAAACTATAGTTTGGAGAATAGTTTTTGGAGAATAGATTCTGAGGAGAATAGGTTTTGTGAAGAATAGATTTTGTGAAAAAGTGATTCTAAGAAGTGAGAGTGTTTGGATAGCTGTTACCAGAAGCACTTTTTATATGCGCAAATTATTAAAAAAGACATAAGTTAATATGATAATTATATAAGAGATAGATTTTATAATATATTTTGATTTGAAAAAATAAAATTGTTAATAAAATAATTTTTACTAACATAATTAATAATATATAAGATAATATAATTAATAAATAATTAATATGTATATATATTTATAAATTATAAGATTAAATAGTAAAGGATCGAGTGTAGAATGAAGAGTGAGGCATCAATTATGAGACTACTTTGTCATATGTTGTTGGGCCCATACCAACGTCTATAAAATTTGAGCCAGAAGCAATTTCAAACCACTTCCACCAAAACCATGGTTTTGGGGTTCAAAACCATGATTTTACCCCAAACCATAGTTTCACATTTTCCCCCTATTTGAGGAAACATCCAAACAGGGCCTTGGTCTATTTGGTCTCTTGCAGTAGTGCTATTTTGCTCGTTGGGCTTAATTGCGCCTTTTGCCTCACTTTTCTTCCCCATATTAGGCCTTTCGTTTTCTTTTCCTTAGGCCTTATGAGTTCCTTTCAATTTTGTCTTTAAGTAGGGTTTAGAATTTCCACTTATTTGCTCTCCTACTGCCACTCCATTCCCTACTGTCATAGGTTTTCTCTTTTCATATATCGCCAACTCTGAAGTCTCAAGTCTGAACCTCTTTTCATAGGGTATTCAATTGCCTCTTTTTCACTAGCTCTGTCATCTCCTTCCCTTGCTCCTTCTTCTTCGAGTGCCGCGAGCACTGCATATCTAGAGGAAGAAGAGGTCGAATTCTCTTTTTTGTTTACTTTTGCCCTCAATCCATCTTGTTCTCTGACTTTTGTCCCTCAAAACCTGAGCTTTGGCTGACCCAGAGACAAATATCCAAGGCCTGAAAGGTTCGGGGGCAGTCAAAGTTGGATTTTTTTGATCATTTTTCCGGTATGACTGTACTTTGTTTGATCCATTTCCAACATTCTGATCAGGTTGCTTGCTTTTCTTCTATGGACATGCCTCCCTTCTATGGCCATAGTGACGACACTCAAAACAGATAAGTTTCATCCCCTCGTACTCAATGTTAAAAGCTTCATTTGCTACTATTATCATGGGAACAAACAGTTTTTGCAGGTTGAGCTCCACGCATATCCTAGCATAGCGTGCTCTTTCAACTTTTGCCTCTGTAGAACATGGATCTGCCAAGGTGTTTAAGTCCACCCTCAAAGGTCTTCCAACTCGTTCTCCTAATCTTGCTATACAATGACCATTGTAGCAGTGCATGGGGATATGGGGGATTCTAATCCATGTGACAATCCATTCTAAGGGGTTTTTGAATGAATCAAAATATGGTGTCCATCTCTGCACCATAACACACTGATGTGCTATGACCCATGGTCCTCCAAGACTCACCTATAATGTACTTTCCAAAACTTAAGGTTCGTGAACTTTACCTCAAAGTAATTGCTAGGTAGATCTATCAAGTTGAAATCTGAGATGCCCTACAGTCTTCAAAGGTGGCTTTTCAGATTATAAAGATTATATCTTCTTCCTAACATTGTTATTATCAGGAAAAAAAATCCAAGGTTTACACCGCTCATTGTATTCTTGCTCTGAAATAGGAACTACTGGGTAGATTTTCATGAACCTCTTGATTTCTTCCGTTGGCTCAGGCATCTTCCAAAAATGTCATCTTCTTCAGGAAACATTTCTTCTGACTCCATAAAAGGACCCTATTGGCCACTCCACTGAACCCTAAGAGTGATTGCTTATAGGATGGAGCTTTCGTATTATTTTCCACCTTTTCATGTCCCTGGTCTTTTGAATTTTCATCATCTCTTGCAACTTCCTTCCCAACCTCTTGTTCTGATTCTTTCTTCTCCATGTTATTATCCATAATGGCTTCAGCCACCCCTTCCACTTTCTTCTTTTTCATTTGAATGTCTTGGACGGCGGTGGATTTGCAACCACAAGGTAGAGAATCATGCGTTTGTCTCTCCAATCAAACATAAAAATACATAGTCTAACTTTTATCCTGTCTAACTTTTTTAAAAATCAAATTAAAAATAAACTACTTTTTCTATCACTAAAAAGGCCCTAAATGAGTTAAATTGAAAATTTGTGGTAGAAGTTTTACTCAAGAGCGTGAGCCACTTGGAAATTGTTTTGGGTTCAATATTACTCTGAAGGTTTAAAATCGTAGCAATTTCTAAGTAAAAAAATTAACATTGATTATTAAAATTTTTGATGATAAAAAGAAAAATTATTATGATTTTAAACTTTCAAGGCAATATTGAACCCAAACAAACTTTCGAGCCCTTAGCATTTCTAAGTAAAAACTTTCAGGATAAATTTACATATTAACCCACGTTAAATATTTTTTAATTAGGCTTCCTCGATTTTCAACTATAATATCGCATAATTCAAAAATTGTTAAAACCTATCACATATTTAATTCAAAAATTGTTAAAACCAATAGGAATTTGCTTAATGGAAGAGGCTAACATTTCACAATATGACAAATTAAGGTTTAAATTCCTTCAAGAAAAGATGTTCACATTTAGTATTTGACAGTGTCTCAAATAAGACTACCTCTAATGTACTTGTATCTAGCAAAACAAATATTGTTAAAATAACAAGAGTTTAGTTGGAAAAAATTTAACATTGACGTCAGACCTCGTGGGTATTGAGTTAGAGAAAAGGTTAAAACGACCACTTTGGTCATATTAAATCAATTGGGGATCAGTTGGAAAGCAGGGGCACTTTTTATCCATGGCATATTTGTGTTTCTCAAAATAGCAACGAATCTTGATCCATAATTAGCATTTTCAAATTTTTGGGTTCCCAAATATTATGATCTTCCTTCGAAGGTCCCTGAGCATCATTTTCCATCTCCATACATACATTTGACATTTTGAGGTTATTGGACTATTCATGTTTTGAATGGTTGATCTTATCTTTGGCAACGATCTCAATTCTTGACAATGCATATGAGTCGGCAAGATATTCTTTTAAGACTTCGGCCACGAGTCAATCTTATTACTACCTCATTCTTGGGGAGTATTTAGTATTATGTAAAAGCATTTTAAAAAAATATTTTAAAGCAAACCACTTACTATATATATATATTTTATAAAATCACTTTTAAAATCATAGTTTGATTTCTACTCAAAGACTCCCTTAATGTAAAAACTAGATATTTAATTTATAAATATTGAGAATATTAAATTGATTGTTTAGAACAAACATGTATTAATTTCCTTATAACTAGAAATTTCCCCTCCCCCGTGTGATGTATAAATTAGCATATTTGATTAGATTTAAAATTCTAATAAATTACATTATCTACTGTAACTCAAGATTTACTTTTTATAAGAGTATGATTTTTTTATTCATTCAAATGGAACTTAAACTAGAGATGTGGAATTTAGGGAGAATAAATAAAAATTTGAAATTAATTATTTATTTCTCCATTTAAACCTTGACATACTATTTAATTATGATGTTCCGTTTTTAATTCAATATATTCAAATTCTAATTAAGATATTATTTAAATTCAAAATTAATTATTAATTCAATTCAAATTCTAGTTATTTATAATGTTCTCCATTTAATTCAGTATATTCAAATTTCAATCAATATGTTATTCAAATATCATTAATTAAATATATTCGGATCCAATAATGTCATACTCAACCCATTTTCAAATGAAGCGGATATTATAAGTTTTCAAGAATATAATTGATTGATTGATTGATTGATAATAATTAATGATAGATGATAGTTGATTGGTGATTGATTGATATCTTTTTTTAATCATGTGTATTAAAATTAGGGATAATTAATCTCCAGGTCCTTATAGTTTTATCTAATTTTTAATCATGTACCTACAAAATTTTTTTCTTTTTATCAGATCTTTTTACTTTCATGTGTTTTTAATTAGACCCATCCGTTTTTTTCCTTTTTATTAGATCTTATAGTTTCATTTATTTTTTAATTAGGTCTTTTATAGTTTTAAAAAATAATTTATTAGCTTTATTTTTTAAAATTAATTTTATTTTTAAATTAATAATTATATAATTGGACAAAATAATTAATATAATCATTTAGTAATTAAAAATTAATCAGAATAATCAATTATACTTAACTATAAATTATTTATATTTAGATTCTTATTTTAGAAAATTTTATTATTATAATTTAAATTTTATAATTATAAAAATTAGAATTGAAAAATAAATAATATATACGTTTAACTAAAAATTTAAAAAGATATTAACATAAGATTATTACAATAATTTATTATTTATAGAATAAGAAATAAAGACTACAAGGACCTAATTAAAAATAAGGTAAAACAATAAGGACCTAATTAAAAAAAAACTTATAAAGACTTGAATAAAAACATGTAAAATTATAAGAGCCTAATAAAAAGAAAAATAATTAAGGGGACCTGATTAAAAAATAATTAAAACTATATGGACTTTTAAAGTTATCTTAGTAAAAACCTCTTTTTGAAAAAAATATAAATTTAAAAAATAAAATTAATTTAAACCTTATATTTACGATTAAATTCAATTTATGCGGCACTTGATTTCCAGTGGCATTATTGCTCTAAATAAACGGCAGATTTGCTGCAGACTCATTCATGAATGGCAATGAAAAGGCATTCCGAGCTCCTATCATATTCCTTGATCCATAATATAAAATTTATTTAACTAATTTAATTATATTAAAATAATTAGATAAGCTAATTGATTATAAAAAATGATATTTTTTCCCTAAAATAACATAATCTTATTTTTTAATACCTTCTCTCTCCTTTGAAAATACAAATAGACAAAAAAGTATTTGGATGAAAACCAAACCATGGTTTCAAAAGTGATTTCACGGCCTATGAAGTAAATATATAGGGAAGTTTATCTTAATTTGCGAAAAAGTGCTTCTGAGCTCCATAGTTTAGAAAAAATTAAGAAATACAAAAAAATAAATTTTAATTTACTTAAATCCCACAAAAAATACTGTAACTTGTGATGTCCTTTATCTAGAGAAGGACTGGATCTGCTCCCATCGTTCGATGCTCTTTTATTTAAGGACTCAAAGCAAGACATCGGCCCTGCGATTCACAACCATCTCACAGATATGAGACAGCGGAGGAAATTTTCAAGATTGCTTACTATGCAATTAACTGCCGGCCCTTAACCCCCTCCGCATGATGCTCACGGCATCTAAAATACCTTTTTCAGTAACTAAACTCTTCTTTGGAATAACAGTTGGGTCCTTACAAAATAATTAACAAGATATCAGAAAATTTTATCTCAATTGACCTGAATGTGCGTGCTCCAAACAGATGTGAAATAATAGCTTCAATCTTAAGGTTGGGACAACAGCATTGTGCCACACAACTCCATCGAAAAAGGACAAGGACACTACCCCACGCAGCAGAACAGGCGGCAAACGTGAACCCTATTTTCTCATTATCATATAATCCCATATAATACTAAAGATACCAGCTGCATATGTTTATCTCCATGCACAAATGGACAAAATCCACAAGCGCAGCTTAAAGCCAATGATTTTGGGACCGATAGGACGATGAAAACAGAAAAATATGTGTAGAAGCAAAGGCAGGCAGGCACAAAGCTTCCTAAAGTTCAGCCCCTAGCACGTCGATGATTTGCTTTGTCTGTCCTCCTCCGCTCCTTAGTCCCAGAAGAGCCTGCTTTTTCTCTGAATTCAGGCATTGTTCCCATACGATTAGCACCTTCCGTTGAGGGAAGCGCCCACCCTCCCTGCCCGCCCTGCTCAATTTGCCTGCTACAGCCAGCTCCTACAACACCAGAGTTCGCACATTTACAATACGTAACTACATGCTCTTCTGAAGAGAAAAATTCATCCCAAAAATAATAGAAATAGGTGAAAAGCGGGAGCAGCAAAATACCATCCAGCGAGTTGCTAGATTTCAGAATCCATGGACAAGATACTAAAATTTATATATATGCAGACAAAATGAGCTTACAACTAACACCACCACACTAAAAATAAACAACCCATAAGTAAAGAGTAAGTGATTAACCATCCCATTCTTAAATTGTAGAATTGATACTTACCAACATTCCCTGCCCATCCCGGTAAATACTTTTGAGCCTTTCCTTGCCACGCTTCCTCAAAGCCAGAAAGCTCATCTACAAATTAACAGACCGAAACTCTTATTGGCACTTAAATGATAAATGAAACGGATATAGACATCATATCACATATCACATAATGAATGCAAATCTCATCCATCATTACCTTCATTTAAATTGTGCAGGGTCTGCATAGATTCTACATTTCCATCAGAATTAAGTTTTCTATTCAATGAATGTCCCTGCAAAGTGCGTAAGATAAAAATGCAATGAAATGGAAATAGTACGGTTCACAGTTATTCTCTAAAGAAGTAGACAGAAGGAAACCTAGTAAATGGAGCAATAAAACACCTAGGAGAACTTCGTGTAAATACCTTATTATGAAGACCTCTAGAAATTCTGTGAGAAGCTTCTCTTGTGGCACTATTAGCCTCCTTGCTCTCTTCAAAGGACACCTAATCCACAATTAAGATGAGATGAGAAAACTAAATAGTGCAAGACTCAACTAGCTTTTACCCAAATCCTGGATACTTACTCCATCACTCCCTGTCCTCCTTGTCCTGGATGAGGTATAATATGCTCCATTCGGGCCACCATAGCTGACTGACGAGCTCTGAAAGCAGAAGCTATGACCTTGAGGACCTTGAGGCTGAGAGCCAATATCATTGAATCTGTTGAACTCGTTTCTAGACTGCAGATATTTCCTTCTATTTCCTGCAACACGAATATAAAATCCCTGCGTTAAAACCCTACTAACACTTACGAAATATAAAAAAATCGAAGAATCAACTGCTAATTGCAAAACACGCTTCACCTTCATCTTCGTCATCAGGATGCATAACAAGTGGTTTGTCGCCTGGCTGACTATTTCTTGGCCTTTTTCCCTTTGACTGCTCTGAATCTTCTTTTTCATCATCAGCGTCTAATTCCTCAATAACTGGCCCCCGTGAACTTCTAGACGCTGGGGCTTGATGTTCAAGATATCCAGATGGATGCATATTTGGAAATAGATCTCTAGGGGGACCAAAGATACTAGACTCAAGCATGCCTCCAAATGGGCGGGTAAAGAAGGGGTCATCAAACGGATTCCTGTCCCCAAAGAAGTTTGACAATAGACTGCCAGGAGGTCCAAAGCTTCCAAAATCACCAAAAGGGCTCCCAAAATCACCAAAAGGGCTACCAAAGTCAAAGAAAGGATCACGGCCACCTCTGCCTCTCTGCATTGTTTTGATAAAGTGATCCCTGTCCGTATAAAAGGCAAACAATACACCTCAGAATATTAACCCATGAATTTTGTAGGAAAATAAAGTTTAAGAAACATGAAATCAACAGAACCAAGGCTCCCCATACGGACGAACCCAAACGATAATCCCCCGTCTTTCCTTTCACACTATAGAAGGCAAAGACTTCGTTCAAACACTAACCACATCGTTACCATAAGCAAACAAAACTAATATCACGACTATAACATACTTCTTACCGGCATTAAGAATGATCAAAACAATGGGAAAAGTATCTAAGTCGAGATCATATTTTGACGATGGTAAAGCGATTAAGAAACGAATCTCACCGAAACTCTTTCAACAATAAAACATAATTTACAAAAGTAATAGGGTTTCAAACAAGCAGGCAATGAAACTATCAAGAAAATGATCACAACTCCAAACAGAAGATAAAATTCGAAAGCCAAAATAAGATCCAGGACAGCTGATCGCAGCAACTGAATAAACAAATTCTCAAGCAGAATTCGCAGGCCTGGGATACTAAGCAATTAATCAAATTAAACAAGAACCCTAAGAACAGTGTAGAGTTTAGAAGAGCTAGCGTACCTAACCGAGAAACAAGTAAGAGCAGACAGCAGAATACAGAGAGAATCCCTGATCAAGCTCGATATGGGGGGTAGGAGAAACCGTAGTGAAAATCTACGGATTCATGAAAGAGCGAAGGGAATTTGGAGGTTGTTATTCACAAAAGAAAAGAATGTGGTTTGCTTCTTTTTTTTTTTTTTTTTTGGGCTGTATGATTTTTGAGGGTTCGGATGTTTCTAGTACCCCCCAGAGGGGCCGAGACCACACGGGGCCGACACACGCATACCCTCTTATTCCCACGTGTCGGAAGTTTAAAGCATCCGCAACAATAGCTTTTCAGCCCAATGGGCCAAATTTACTCTTCCTTTGGGCAACATGGGCCGACTTACCCGTAGTGGTCATAGTAACCGTACATTGGTTGTGTTGTGTCTTTCGTCCAAAACACAACACCCAAAAAGCCCTTTCATTACTCGTATTTAGAAAATATATACTTCTTCAGTCTTTAATATAAAATATAATTAACTAATTTAAGTAGATTAAAAATATTAGTTAAATTATTTAACATGATATGATTTTTTAAAATGCTCTAAACATTTTTTGAATTCCCTTCCTCCCTCTCCTACTTGATTATTGTTGAGAGAACATCAATAAGATTAATTTAGAAAAAAGTTGATAATTATATAAAATAAGTCTTATATTTAGGACTAATATTGACTCTTTAATTAAGTAAGACATTAAGGATAAAAGAAGTCATTAACTTTATCCTAAAAGCACAAACTGCACCAAACATGCATTGATCCTAGGGGAAGATACTTTAGCTGTTTAAACGCAAAGTCACGAATTCGAATCCATGTAAATGCATTCCACTGGCCAAGTCAATTAAAATATAATCTGTTTTGTTCTTAAACGCAAGGTTGATAATAGGCACCATAGCATGCTGCGTCGCCCTTATTTTTTCTTTCAAGCAAATGCGTTCTAATTGGAGGCGTTTATAAGATAGGCTTGTGTTCCATCTCATCCCAAGGGCATTCTAGTCCCCAGCCGGACGAGACATCCCATCTAGCGAATTCACTCAGTTTTTATAGATAAAAATACCAAGAAAAAAATATTCCAAGTGCCTTCAATTTTTTTTTTTAACCAGTGGAATTTGGAATTCTGGGTCCTTTTTCACTATTTATAATGTTTTTTTCCGTGTGGCTTCAAAAGAAAAAACTATATAGATACTAAATACTCTTCCTGTCCTAAATATAAGACCCTTATATATACTAGTATAAAAGTTTTATATTTAGGATAAGAGGAGTAACTCAATTTAGTGGGAGAAAAAACACTGAAAAATGATTACGTAGAAAGCCCAATTGAGAAACACGGTAAAAAAAAAAAATACATCGAGATGCACAAAAGACGCTGAAAAAAAATTAAGGGTCACCATAAAGAGAGCAGGAGTCAATACTCAGGGCAAAAAATACTAAATAATCTAATAATAATCGGTGATTTTTTCTTTAAAAAAAATGCATATCCCGGGATGCAACAAGGATGCAACAAGGGTCGCAACTGAACGAGAGGACGCCGAAGGAATTGGGGAAACCTTTTTTTTTTTAATATTGGTAGTAACTCATTCTATAGAGAGCAGTAAGATTTAGAGGGTATTTGGCAATACTCAAAAGTCTTCTCAGAAACATTTTTTTGCAAAACGAGGTAAATTCTTTCATATATTTATTTTGTAAACCGTAAAAATATTTTTAAAATTATAATTTGGTTTTCATCCAAACACTCCCCAAGTGAATACTAGTAATGAGTACAAGATACCCATTATTAATAGTTTTCATATTTTATTTATGTACGGATTTTTAGACAATAAAGACCATTGTACTTCTAGTTTTGTCATGTTGTAAGAAATCCTTATAGCCTGCATTTGCATTGTAAACGGCACTCTTCTGTGTTTGGTTTACGTAGTTGAATTCGTCTGATAGGTTATTGAAGATGCTTCTGTCGATAAGGCACTCAATTAAATTAGATCTTAATTAATTTATAGTTTAGGATCAACCTAGGTCATTAGTTCCAAGAAGTAAGTTATGGGTTTCTTTAGGTAAAAATTTTAAATGATGAAAAATGCAATAAATTGGATCTAAACTAAAATGCAAAATTCTAATTGTAAATACAATATGTAAATGTCCTAAAATTTATATGAAAATTTAATAAAACTAAATGAATGCAAATGCAATTTTTGGGGGAGATTTTTTTGTAGAAAGAAAATTTAAAATGATAAGTAAAAAAATTAACTAGAAAACAAAGAAAATTAACAAGTAAAATTAAGAAGTTTCTCTTCAGGTACAGTAGAGGGGATGACTTAAAATTCACATGGATTTAAACTTCATAACCTTAATTAGTTAATTAGACCAAAAGAAAGTGATAAGATAGTAGAATTAATAAATTTAATCACCTATTTGAAATAAAAAGAATCCTCAATTTCCAAAACCCCTTAAACTATTAGAAAACTCATAACAATATAAGGTTGGTTAATTAAGCTTATTAAAACCAGTGAAAATAACTTAAATTAATTATGGAAATTATGTTTGAAATTATCTAATTAAACAATTAGATAATTAACCAACTTAATTAAACAATTAAGAGGCTAATGAACCCAAATTTTGCAATTCAAAGCACATTGATAATTAAATTCATAATGAAAACTCAATTATAAATTCAATTAACAATATAAAGGTTCATAAACATAAATTCTATCAAGTGTCTCAACATAAATATCAATCCAATCTAAGAGTAAAAATGACAATCTAAAACTAAATTGTCTCACAAAAATACAACTCAAAATTATTTAAAATTAAATAATTCTAAGTCTTTGAATTAAAAAGATAAATGGAATATCATTCTCTTATAGTCTTCAAGTGCTAGCCCAAGGCTTGCCTCCTCTCAAGTTGCCTCCCTAGCAAGCTTAAGCTTCCATCAACATGTCTCCTCCTATAAAATTGTTAGATGCCATGGCCATGAACGATGAAGTGTAGATGGGAATTTGGTCAGGAAAAAGACGTGAATTGATGATGATAAGAGGTGATGTTTTTGTATATGTGGAGTGAAGTGATGATGGTGAGAGATGGTATATGGTGAATATGGAATGAGGGAAGATATGGTGCAAGGCGTAGGCTAGAGGATTTTGGTGCAAGAAGAGAGTTGGCATTAAAAATGGTGTCCATGCGGCTAAATGGAGAAGGAAAAGAAGTGATCTTCTGCATCAATTTTCTATATGGAATTAGGAGAATATTTTAATGGGAGAAAAGAAAATTTTTTGTGGATCTAAAACTCAAACCCATTAGTAATTAATTGACCTACTTGATATTAGCTATTGGATTGTACTTAAATTTCAAGAAACAATCTTGCACCATTGGATTTCCTATATATTCTTTCTTGACCTACAAGAATTCAAGTGCATCCATTAATATAGATTATATTCAAATATAATATAATCTATATCAAAATTAAATATTAGATATGCACAAAAAAATTAGGTAAGAAATTGCAAAAATTTCTAAAAATAATCTTTCTAAAAATATGAAACTTGTTTCCAAGGAAATAGGAAAAATTAATTCCCAGTCAAAAATAGTAAATCACAAAATATTTATATTTTTAATCCAAAATCTCAATTTTTATGCAGAATCCAAAAATCACCCAATTAATCCCATTATGCATAAAAATCCATTTAAGCTCAAAATTATCATTTAATTTCTAAATTAATGTGGGATAAAAGATATGAAATTTAGGCTTTATCAATTCGCCCACACTTAATCTTTGTATTCCTAGGCAAAGCAAATGAAGACCAAAGAGCAGTAAAAGAGCAAAAGAAAATCAAACAAAGGTGAATGTTTCAATCACAAGCAAAAAGCACATCAAAGCAATTAACATCTTTCTTATCCAAGTAATCTTCTCATGAATAGAGAAAACAAACATTATGGCGATTTACTTGACAAAAGGGAATTTAAGTCAGAAATCCTTCACCAAGGTTAATGTATATGTCACTCATCACTCAAAAGTATATTGGCTTGTGTTTACACTCAAAATCATCCTATCCAATCTTCTTTCCATAGGCTTGACAAGAATCTAAATTCTTCACTAATCATAAAGCAATTACAAGCATAAATCAAAAAGACTTTTATTAGGTTGTAATGGGGTTAAGGTAAAGAAAGTGATGCGATACAGCAAGCTAACTCCTCAACTTCCAATGATCCATTGCAAATCCCAACTGGACCAATCACAAGAGCAAGAGCTAAAAGAATTAAGGAAGCTTTGAGTGGGCTAGTGCAAGACACCTTGACAAAGCAAATGGCATTTATTGGAGTATCAAATCTGTATAAAAATGCTGAAGACGTCACTAATGTCATTTGGGCTGAAAATGGAGCTACTGATCATATCTTGGGCTTAGAAACTTCAATTTAAGGAGCTTGGATCAAGTACAACACATGAGAAGACTCATTTGGGCCTAATTAATCATATTTTGGGCTTGATATGCTGATTATATTTCATTAAATGCATTTGAGCGAAAATTCATAATTAGTTGGCCGATTTAACTTTTGAATTTCCAAGTTACCCAAATCAAGTCATTATGAATTTATTATATTTTGATTTTCTAGATTGCATTTAATGCTTTTTAGGTCAGATATTGAATGTATCCTCTATAAGATATTGTAACGCTCATTTTGGCAGGAGATTGGGAATTTGAATGAAAAACTTGCATTTTGCAATTTCTGACTTGAGAGGGGTTCTCTCTAGGGTTCTTCATTGAACTAACAGACTTATCAAGGCTTGATCAACCTTGTGGCGTCTTTCAACACTTCGGGTCCTTGTTCTCCCGTGTTCAAGGGTTCAAGTGGATCATCAGACCTTTGTTTACGTTCTTGGGGTGCGTATATTCAAATTGGCTGTGGGTTTGTGGGATTTTTTTCTTGTGGGTTCTCACCATTTGGTTCTCTCTAGGGTTCTTCATTGAACTAACAGACTTATCAAGGCTTGATCAACCTTGTGGCGTCTTTCAACACTTCGGGTCCTTGTTCTCCCGTGTTCAAGGGTTCAAGTAGATCACCAGACCTTTGTTTACGTTCTTGGGGTGCGTATATTCAAATTGGCTGTGGGTTCATG